TTGTGAATAAAGCTGCTGTAAATATTTGTGTATAGGTTTTTGTGTGATTGTAAGTGTTCATCTCATTGGAATAAATGCCCAAGAGTACACTTGCTGGACCATATGGTAAGAACACATTTAGCACTATAACAAACTGGCAGACGATTTTCCGCAGTGACTGTATCATGTACATTCTTGCCAGCAAAGTATGAGTGACCCAGTTTCATATCATCCTCTCCAGCATTGGGTGTTATCATTGTTTTTTATTTTAGCCTTTGTGATAGGTGTTTTATGATATCTTATTGTGATTTTTAATTTGCATTTCTCTAATGGCTAATGATTTTGAACATCTTTTCATGTGTTTACTTGCCATCTGTGTATCCTCTTCAGTGAAAGGTCTGTTCATGGTTTTTTTTGCCAGTTTTCTAGTTAGAGCCTTTTTTCTTACTGTTGAATTTTAAGAGTTCTTCATGTATTCTAGGTCCGAGTCCTTTGTTAGATGTGGTTTGCAGATATTTTCTCCTGGTCTGTAGCTTGTCTTTTCATCCTCTTAACAAGGTCTTTCATGGAATTAATGTTCTTAATTTTGATGAGGGGTATTTTATCATTTTTCCCTTTCATGTTTGAAGTGTTAGCATCTAAGAACACTGTCTAAGTCTAGGCTCCAGAAATTTTCTCCTGTGTTTAGTTCTAAATGTTTTATAGTTTTATATTTTACATTTAGGTCCATAGTCCATTTTGAGTTAGTTTTGTATAAGGTGTGAAGTTTAGGTCAGTGTTCCATTTTTTGGCCTATGAACGTTCAGTTTCCCAGCGCTGTTTTTGAAAGGGCTATGCTTCCTCCACTGGATTGTTTTCATATCCTTGGCAGTTCATTTGAATACATTTCTGCCGATAGTTTCTGGGCTGTCTGTCCTGTTCTTTTGATCTGTGTGTCAGTCTTTCCATTGATATCACACTGTCCTGATCTCTTAAGCTATATAGTGAGGCTTAACATCAAGTTGAATGATTCTCTTTACTTTTTTCATCTTTTTCAAAATTATATTAGCTACTTTAGGTCCTTTTCCTTTCCAGGAGCACTTTAGAACAAGCTTGCCTGTATCTATAAAAAACTTAGCTGGGATTTTGATAGAAATTGCACTGAATGTATAGATCAATTTGGGAAGAATTGATAACTTTACTATGTTGAGTTTTTCAACCTATGAACATGGTATTAGGTCCTTTGATTTCTTTCATCAATATTTTGTAATTTTCAGATCCCTGTACATATTATAGCAATATACATAATTTTAATTTTTAGATATATTTTTAAATTCAGTGAATAGATTAAGCAAATTTATAAGACATACGCCAACAGCGTGAAATAGCCTGTGTGTGCATAAATAAGCACTGCCATTTAGAATATATGATGAAAAGAAATCACAGAATTGCACACATCCAAAAAAATTGTTTGGGTAAGAGACAGTGTGTGTTTTAAAGGCATAAATAACAGATTTCTCTAGACCCCCCCAACCTGAACAGACCATTAAATCGTGAAGGAAGTTCATTGGCATAATTTAAGAAGTGAGTTAAAAGTGAGTGATTGATTTACTACTTGGGTAGGCTATTAGAAATCCTAAATTACATAAATCAATGAAATAATAATTTATAAAATATAAATGTTGATATTGAACCTAATCATACCACATGGCCTTGAGATCAGTTTTATATATATATATAGAGAGAGAGAGAGAGAGAGAGACTAGTTTGATATGTTTATAGGTGCTTCTGTCATATTTTCTTCTATATCTATGAATATTTTGGCCTAATATTCAGAGCATTGTACAGCTGACCCTTGAACGCTGTGGGCTCTAGGAGGCGCCAACCCTTTGCACAGTTGAAAATCTATGTATAACTTAAGAGTCCGCCCTCTGTATCTGCGATTCGCCTGCATTGATGGTTCCACATTTGCAGATTCAACCAATACAGATCATGTAATACTGTAGTGCTCACTGTTGAAAACCTACATATAAATGGACCTGCACTGTTCAAACCCATGTTGTTCAAGGTCAACTGTACTTTATATCGTTAAAGTAGAAAGTGTGTTGCATGTTGGAGTCAGGAGGATTGGCCTAGAATTCTGGATGCAATATGGCTGATGTAAGAAATAGCAGAAACTCATATAAATTTGAGAGACATCTTTAACCTTCCTAAATCTGTTTCTTCATCTGAAAAAAAATGGGAATGATTCTTTACAGAGCTCTAATAAAGATAAAGTGAGCTAATGTATGTAATTAAATGTAGTACCTGGCATGTAGGGACATTTAATAAATTTTAAATTATCCCAGCTCCTTAGCCATCCTCACAATTCCCTAATTCCTGGGGGGATAGCTGGGGAGCTGACCCTCTTCTGCCCTGAACTGTGAAAACATCACAGAGGGCATTCAGAGCATCTCAGAATTGTGAATTAAGTCAAAACAGATTGCCGATTGTTTTTATAGAGAGAAGTGGCGAATGAGCAGGGTCTTTACCACCATTTTGCTCTTGGGCAGCCATCCTTTGGCTGCCACGCCCTTAAAAGAAATGGGCATCCTGATGACACGGCACAGCACCCCAGCCCATGCTGCGGCAGGAGCCGGTGCAGAACTCTAGTGAGCACAGCTGGGCCACGCTGAAGTCAGGCCTGGAGCCAAAGCATGCCAAACGCTTAGCCTGCTGGCATCCCGCCACCCAAGCCTGAATCTGATGTAGGACGCAGGTGATGTAAGAATCAGCCGGTATATCCACACCTGTGAGAAGGGCCCAAGGCAGAGCCGGCTTGATCACAGCCAACTGCCAGGGCTGAGCCCAGAGCAGCGGTTGAGATGCGCTCAGAAGAGGAGGGGCTGGTTCGTTCATGGACCCTGCTTCTCCTTGAATACCCACGTTCTCCTACCTTTAGAGCTCGACACATCCTCAAAACAAAACCCGCCTGATGAGGACTGCCTCGAGAGAGACGTGGCCGTGTCGCTGGCAGAATCGCAGCCACAGTCTGCGTGTACCTGTGTACGAGAGACCTGGGTCTTCCCTGGGTCATGCCTGGCCTTCTCCCGGAGATAAAAGGGTGCTGGTGTCTGTAGTTGAAGGTTGGAAAGGAGAGTTGTGGGGTGGACTGAGATTCGAGATACAGAGAGGCAGAAGGAGCCTTATTGCCTCTGGACCTTCTCCTAATGTGCAGGTCTGCCACTGAGGGTCTCAGGCAGGTCCTCTGTCGGGGGGGAGCCTACATCACTAGCATGGAGCGGAGCCCCTTGCTATTGTAGCTTTTTCCAGCTGCTCTCCACTCTGTGGGTAGGCGCTGAAATAATTTTGTCCCCCGGTGGTGGTCTCTGTTGCTGAGTGATGGTATTTTCTCAGTTCCTTATGCACCCTCCTCCCAGTCGTGACCTCCTAATGGCATGCCCGCTGTAAGCTGTTTGCTTGTTCGCTGTGGCTTCCTCTCCCAGGCCAGCGTGATCTCCACAGGGGTCAGGGCAATCCGTCACGAGCCCACGTTCTCTCACCCCAGAGCCCCTCAGTGGGGATGTGCAGATGGGAAAGGGGAAGGCAACAGCTGCAAACCATATTTTATTTCTGATCTCCTTCCTGGTCCCAGCCGCTGGGCCGGTGCCAGCGCTGTGTGACTAAACGAGCCGCCTGGAACCTCTCCACCTAAATCCATGCAGCTCTGGAAGCCACGTGAGGCTAACTGGCATGGCCCACCCTGCACTGATTTCACTCCTTGTGGAACTGGCCTCTCTGGAAGGGATCTGACTCTTCTCTGCATGGTGGTTTTGTTTGTTTGTTTTTGTTAAGGTTCTTACAGTGCTGTATGTCCCTCGTCAGACACCCGCACAGATTCCTGATGCCTCATCTCCTCCTTTTGGGGGGAGGCTGGAGGTGTGCCGTGACTTTCCCCGTCTGAGGGATTAGGCACTGCCCACGGGGGCTGGGATGGGTATTCTTCCTTTGCTCTGATTGCTTCCATCAGAAGCACTACACTGTGGTAGACAGTTTCTTTGAAGTCAGAGATGCTTTTGAGCTGCTCGAATCTGTGTTCTAATCCTGGCTGTACCACCTACCACTGTTTGCCTTGGGCAAGTTGCTGGTGCCTTCATTTCAAGATGGGGGGATGTTGATGGTGCCAACATTTGGGGGATGCTCTGAAGATGAATGGGTAATATTTGTGAAGTATCTGTCCCACTCCTGGCTTGTTTTAAGTGCCTGTACACACACCCACGTATGCTTGGGTACTTTGTGCTAATTCGTACACGTATTCCCCTGGTAACAGTGGTTGTGGGCATTGCTAGGTTTCAGCGTATAGTCTTTGAAAAGTTCGGGGGTTTTTTCCTGACAACAAGAGAAGTGTGTATTAAGTTAAATTTTGGAATAAGGCAAAGCAAAAAAAAAAATACAAATCATATGAGGCGATCGTTGCCACCATTTTCTCATGTAATGAATTTTTTAAAAATTTTATTTAAAATCTCATTTCACAGGATTATGCTGTGCAGACTGGTTTTCTTTTGTGACTAATTATCATGAATCCAGTTGTTTTCATACAATATGATTTTTAACAGTTGTAGAGTAGTCTGTTATTTGGTTGTACTCTTGTTGAAATTTTTGGTTATTTCTAGTTTTTCACTGTGATAAACTATAGTCGAGCTGCTTTCTTGCAGCATAATCTTTATGCACATTTATAACTTCTTTTTGAATAAGTTTCTAAAAGCAAGCTGGATTGAAAATAGGTGCATTTTTAAAGCTTTGAGTGGTTACTAACAAATTCTCTTCCATGAAGGCTTTGCCATTTTAAATTCCCATCAAGCGTGGACCCCCTTCATACTTTCTTTAATTCTGAGTATTAATTTTTTTAAACTATTATATATACATGAAAACTTACCTACTTGCTGCTTCTTATTGCTTATTATCTAATTATTATTTTAAACACATCACAGCATCACTGATTACTTGGCAGTATCAGATGTGTTCAGAGGAAGAGCACTGAGTCTTGGTATCTCTTGTTTCAGGAAAAGATGAAAGGCAAGAACAAGTTGGTGCCTCGCCTGCTGGGGATCACCAAGGACTCGGTGATGCGCGTGGATGAGAAGACCAAGGAAGTGCTGCAGGAGTGGCCCCTCACCACGGTCAAGCGCTGGGCAGCCTCACCCAAGAGCTTCACACTGGTAGGGACTGGCAGAAGGCAAGGAGTGGGTCGACATGGCCTTGGGTGGTATCAGGGGGCAGGAGAAACAATACAAGTGCATTGGGTTTCCCTGGCCTTGGGTAGTGGCGTAGAGAGGGACAGGTGGCGGGAGTTTGTGGGGCAGGGGGTGGGAGTGGGCACTGGTCCAGAAGTGAGAGAGATGCCGGAGAGCTGGATCTCCTTGGCCACCTCTTCCTCTCTGGTGCTCTGAGGCAGTCTCAGTTCCTTGACTAGAAAGAGCCAATCACAGGATAATCCTCAGTCTTCTGTGGTCTTAATGCCATCCATAGTTACCCTAAAATTTAAGCAGCTTGCTCACACTCTGAGGCCCATGCAAAGACTCCCTCCTCATCTCTCATTATTTTAGAAGTTCCTAAGAATTGTGGTATCTCGCCAAGACGTGTTTTCCCAGCCTGCCTACAAAGAGAGCATGCCGTATGGTGGAAATATCATAGACTGTGGCGTAGTGTTTGAAACCAGCTGGTCATTTCCCAGCTCCATGCCCTTGCTCAAGTTATTTCTCCTCCCTGAGCCTTAATGTCCTTGGCTGTAAAATGGGGACAGTAATACCTGTTTCACAGAGTTGCTGGAATCAAATGAGATGATAACGATAAAATGCTAGTGTGAAACACATGGGAAGTAGAGAGAATGTGGGTTTCTTCCAGGCCTTCGGACCTCTGAGTTCCTCCTCCCAACCTCAGTATCTGCTCTTAGCAGAAGATACTATGTGGTCGTAACTATATAGCCAGCCACATCGACATGTGAGAATTAAGACAGTTATTTTGTAGGACACGTTGAGCGACAAGACAAATCTAGAGTGTTAAAATTTGTGTGTTTCTTCAGAACCTCAGGCGTGTACTCCTCTCCAGCTCTAGTGAGCACTTGAATTATCTGCATGTAGGCAAGATCTCGTAATAAGGCATCAGGAAAAAAGGTACAAGGAAGGGGCCTTGGTGGGAGTATTAGTTATCTGACTTGATCACTGATTGGCAGACTCATGCCAGGTGGGAGGAGTCCTCAGAAAACAGACCTTCTTTCCTCCCGTAGTCAGTAACACCTGTACCTGCAGGACCTTAAAAAGTAGGTGTTCAGACTTAGAGAGCTATGTTCGCATCTTCCATTGTAGGTAGTTGTGGATAACGTCTAAAATAGAAAAATCAAAAAGTCAATAGAAACATGCTATTTAGAAACACTGAAAGAGAAATTGCTGAGTTGAAAGTAATTACCTCTGGGTGGAGGCTGGAAAGTGAAGGTGGGAATGGGTGGGGCAGGAGACAGCTGTGTTTGGTTATATCCCTTTTAATGCTGTTGGTCTCTAACTTAGGTCCAAGTACTGCTTTGTTAAAAACAAAAAACTTATTTAAAATGGTTATGAATTGCAGTAACTACCTCCAGCAAAAGAGAAGACAAATACCAATGTTGGATTACAGCTTATCACATGTAAACTTTCTTTACTTCCCACCTTAGCTTCAATTTAATGTGATTTCCAAGTGTTGGGGGATTTTCCTGTTGTCTTTCTATTACTGATTTTTAGTTTGATTCTCTTATGGTCAATGGGATATACTCTGATTCTGTTATGTTCATGGAGCATACCGTGTATGGTTTCAATTTTTAGAATTTTAAGATTTGTTTTCTGTCACAGGATATGATCATTCTTGGAGAACGTTCCTTGAGTGCTTGAAAAAAATGTGTATTCTGCTCTTGGGTGAAGTGTTCCATAAATGCCCTTTAGATCCTGTTAGCTGATGGTGGTGTTCGAGGCTTCCAGATCCTCACTGAATCTTCTGTCTAGTAATTCTAGCAATTCCTGATCGTGAAATTCCCAACGGCAATTGGGGATTTTTCTGTGTCTCCTTTCCTATATGTCAGTTTTTATTTGATCTATGTTGATGGTCAGCTGTTTGGTACTTACATATTTAAGATTCCTCTATATTCTTAACGGAGAAATTGTGTTATCCTTATGTTCTTTTGTTCCTAGTAAAGTTTGCACTCTGAAGTTTGTTTTATCTTGTATTAATATAGTCGCTTTTAAAATTAGTGTCTGCATGTTATATCTCTTTCTATCCTTTTACTTTAAATGTGGCTATATTATTATATTTTAAATGAGTTTCTTGTAGAGAGCATAGAATTGGGTTGTACTTCTTATTAAAATCTATTCTCTTTTAACGGCAATATTTATGCTATTAATATTTTCAGCTAATTATTGGTATGTTAGGGCTTAATCTACTGTTACATAATTTT